AGAGCTGTCAAACAAACTCACCAGCTGCACACAGTTGGAGATGTGAGTCCTCACTTGTTCTGAGATGTGACCATTCTGACGGCTCATCCAGCTTTACAACAAGATTCTCCTCGGACTGATTCACCTCTATTCAACTTTATTACCAAGCAAGCAGAGGCAGGAGACTCTGTTTGCTATTTGGTGGCTGTGCTGATGAAGCTGAATCACATTGATTGAGGCTGTGAAAAAAAACCCTAAATTAGAGACATTACAGTTTTAAAAAAATCCAACATTACTCATCTCAAATCATTAAATCTCAAACAAAACATGTAATGGGATTACATTAGTGGTTGGAGGCAGATGGCATTTCTACTTTCTGCTAAGTATTTCTGTCAGAAATGGGATGACTCTGTAAGTTAAGATGAACAGTGACTCATACTGTGACAAAAACCTGAGATACACAACAACTTTCATGAGATCTGAAAAACATCAAACTATTTTCAGCTTTTATAAGTATTACACTAAGTAATCCTCACTTTTTGTTTAAGGTACGGTTTAATTTTTGTTTAAATTATCTACTTGATATCACTTGTTGAGAAACTTAAATCTATCTTTAAATTCTGAAAAGGGATCAAGTTAAAACACTGCAAAATCATCATGAAGGACATGAAAAGATTGTAAAAATTAAAAAAAAAAGAAGAGACTTCACATTACCAAGTCAAGTCAAGATGAGAAATATACATATGTATGTTTAAGCTCCTCCTCCTGTTAGTCGTATTAAAAGGCTCCTTCAGCACCTCCTCTCTTCATCCTACAGAAGCAGTACAGCCACTTTAAAGTTACAAATTCTCATTCTCATTCTCAGCTCACACTGATAACATGCTGGTGACTCTCGGTGCTCTCATCACTGCTCTAACATGTAAACACTTTGACTTATATTGCACACATATATACTAATGTCAGTGTGTTTCTCTTGACTCAGTGTCTTCTTGTTGTTTGCAGGTGTGAGTGGTGTGACGGTGGTGACACAGAAACCTGTTCTATCAGTGAGCAAAGGAGAGACAGCCACCATGGACTGTAACCTGGGGACTGTAACTGACAGTGCTGCTCGTTGGTACAAACAGATTCCAGGAGGAGCTCCTCAGTATGTGCTGAGGTTTTATCATGGAAATACATCTCCAACCTATGGCTCTGGGTTCTCCTCTCCAAAATTCACATCCACTCATCAGTCAACATCAGATTATCGTTTGATCATCAGCAATGTGGAGGAGGGAGACTCTGCAGTGTATTACTGTCAGACATGGGATGACTCTGCCAAAGAGGATGTATCACAGTGATTTACATCATGACAAAAACCTCACTGTTACTTCTGCTTTTTGAGATTTACACATCCTGATAACAAAGACACTTTTGAAACTTTTTGAAACCAACTCACTAACGACAGATAATGTGTTGATAATCAATAAATTACGTTATTTTAATCAAGGGACTCTCAATTCGATTAACTATCTAACCTTCTATTACCACATGACTTTGACAGCATACATTCTGTTGACGTTCTCCCCAGAGAGAACCCAGAGCCAAGCATCAGCCATAAATGCTGATGCTTGGTATTTCTGATTAAGACATACAGACATAAATAAAATAGAAGCAAATATTTCTGTTGTGTGTGCTTTTAGGAACACCTCTTTATATCATATGTTGTTTTAAAGGAAGAATATCAACACTGTGACAAAAAACTAAATGAGAGACTCCACAGATTTTATAAATAAATTCTAACCATTTGAAATCATTACATTTTTTTTACTTTGACTTTTTTTGTTATTTTGTTGTTGTACTGTACATTTAAAATATTGAGGTTAAAGGTGTGTAAATGCTGATCCCAGCCCAGCAGCCAGACTCTAAACTTCAACAGATAATAAAAGCAGTGATGAGCAGTCAGACTGCAGCCTCCTTTTCTACCTGTTCATGTTTCTAAACTAGAATCATAGTGACGACTGCTGTGCTGATGGCTTTGAGTTCACACCTAAACACTAAGAGAAAAATCATGTGTGTGTTCTCCTTAGGATATGGATTTCTGTTGGTGTATGGGACTACAGTCTAGCCTCAGGTTTATATTGTTCACTGGCAATTATGAGACAATGAATTTCAGGCCATTTCATGGAGAAACGCAAAAGTCATGTAACTAGTGTAGAGAATTACTTTCTACTGGGAATAATTCAGTCATGTGCATTATTTGTGCATTATCTTTAAGAATAGTAATGAGTAATGTATAAAACATTACTTTTTTTGAGTAATAACCCAACAATGATCACAGCAAAGACGGGAAATACCTCTAACAAGTTCAAATGTTTGACCACACAGCGTGCAAATAATTTTGTGTTTAATATGCTTTTCAGTGATGCTGGTGACTCTAGAAGCAAAGCCAGTGAGAATTCAGTGAGACTCAATAAAGAATCGAATTGATAAATAATATTGATAATCACTAAATTACTAAATTCTTATCAAGTCCCATCCCTACTTTGTGCTGTATTTTTATTATAGCTATATTTTTCCACTTTATGGGTTTGGCTTGTCCTCTCCAATATTCACATGTACTCATCTGTCAACATCAGATTAGCATTTGATCAACAATATATGGGGAAGCGACACTGACAGTGAAAGTTGGTCTCAATTGGATGTTTCAGTTCCTCTCCCCTCATCAGTGACAGTCAGGAGGTTTTTGTACAGCCATGTATACAAACTGAATCACTGTGGTATTCGGACAAGGCACCAAGCTGATTGTGACAAGTAAGTACTTTTTAACTGATCATGAAACAG